GGCCTCCGGTTCGGTCATAATTTTTTTTTTTTTTTTTGCTTTCCTAACCCCCCCCACTCATCCCCCACCCCCCCAAACCCCCAAACCCCTCCTAACCATCAAGCCCAACCCGGCTAACCCCAACAAATGAAAAAAAAATAAAAATAAAAATCAATTCGGCCCGGGCCCGACCCGGCCGGGCCGGTTCGCCAAATACAAGGCCCGAGCCCGGACCCGGACCCCCCACCGGGCCTAGGCCTGACCCGGACCCGGACCCGAGAATTGGGCCGGTTCTGGGCCCGCACAGTGGCGGGCCGGGCGGCCCGAACCGGGTCCATGCCTACTATGAACACTCTCTCATGGATATTTGAATGACTATAAACTATTTTGGGCCTGCGAGCCCATGTTTTGGACGGATGTGGCCCATGACTTACCATTGTTATTCATTGTTTTAAATGTGATGTTGTCATGTATGTTTACTTACTTAATATGGTATGAACTATGTTCATGGATGCTTTGTACAATTAAGCGAGGTTGACTTGCGGGTGACGTCACTTGATTGTGCGGCGGTTGTACACGCACTTAGATGCGGTCTGGGGCGTGACATCTAGTTTTTTCAATTCTCTGCTAGGCATGATTGCAGTGAAGAAAGCAGATGATGATAACTAAGTGAATACTTTTAATCTTGGGAAAAGTATCAAACCAACCCTCAAACTAACACCAATAGTGCAATCACCCCCTGAATTAAAAAAACCTCCAACCAAATCCTCCAAGTCAGCGATTAAGTGCAAATGATCCCTTCAATTAAAAAAACTGCAATCGAATTCTCCAATTCAGTGATATAACGCAAATGACTTTCCTAAGTTGTAATTCACCGTTAAAGTTAATGTATGCCATTTATTATAGTATTGATATAATAATTTACAACATCTTAATGGCAATTTTATTAGTTTTTTGTTGATAAAAATTATATATTTCTTCAATTCTTGGATCAAACAATATTACTTCACAACATCTTAATGGTAAAGTAATTTTGAACACCCAATATTTGTTGGCAACATCCGCCACTGAGTGGTGAGGCGGTGCTATGTGTAGTTCTTGAGTTTGTCGGTGGGTTTTCAACCAATCGTGGAAACACTTGAGCGTCTCAAGAGATTGTGTGTTCAACCCCGTTCTATAGTCAGACGTTAAAGTGAGATATATTGAGGTGGGTAAATGAATCTTATGTAGCAAAACTTTTTTAATAAATGGCGCACATCAGCTTTAATCTATAAATTACCACTCAAGAAAGTCATTTGCACTATATCACCGAGTTGAAGAATTTTGGTTGTAGTTTTTTTAATTTAAGGGGTGATTTGCATTTTACCATCGACTTGGAGGATGTAGTTGAGTTTTCTTTAATTTAGGCGCAGGGGCGGATCTAGGATGTTTAGTTATTGGGGGGCACTAATTAAGGAAAAAATGGGGAAAAATTCGAATAATAAACATGTACTTCCTGTGTTCCTTTTTTGTTACAACGTTTCCATTTTCGCGTTTGTCAACGCAAAATTTGGACCATTAATATACTTCATTATTTATTAGCGAAAAATAAAAACAAATACGTAGTATTAGATTTTGAAAATATAAAAGCGAGAGAAATTTAATGATATTTTCCAAAACTTAAATTATCAATATACTAACGAATAAAATGTGGTCAAAGTAGAACATGTGAATAATGTAAAATTCAAGATATTGTAAATAAAACAGAACAAAAGTAGTGTAAATTAATTTCAAGAAATGAAATAATCCTATATTAAAAAATAAAAACATAATGTAGCGCATATTTAGTACAACCGCTCTCCACGAGTTTTCATTTTTGTAAAACGCTTTTCACAAGTTCATAACTACATTTTTAATTATATATCAAGCACGACACATCTTTTTCCACATAACAAATGATATAATCCTTCAAAAACTAGTCGTTCAACTTATTTCATAAACTTTACTTGACAATGTTCATCCCGAAAAAAAATACCTTTCAACTGTAGCAGTTGTAATTGGCAAAGTCAATGATAATTTCATTAGTCAATACACTAAATAAATATTTAAAGATGGTCTTTTTGTAGTCATCGACTCATCATCATACACATACTCGTGATTTGTACATATTACAGTGAAAAACATTTTTAATTTCTTCTTAGAGAATGATCAAAATAATTTTGGATCACATCATTAAATAAAATATTTTAAAAAAAACGTAGTGTAAATTAAAAGGGACAAAGGTGTAGTGGGCTAGCCGAGTGTAGTGCACATTTGATCCTTTGCTGAGTCATTTATTTTCAAACTGCACAACCATTTTTTACACTCGGCAATTGAGTCGTATAAATTAATGGGGGCACCGGTTTTTTGGATTGGGGGCACCACCTTTTTGTTAATATTATATATTTATATTAACACAAAATATTAGAACTTCATTGGGGGCATGTGCCCCCATTACTTACTTAATGAATCCGCCCCTATTTCGGCGGTGATTTGCACTATTGGTGTTAATAATTTGAGGGTTGATTTGGTACGTTTCCCTTATATCCTTCACCAAACTATAGTTAACAAATTCAGAGGTCACCACATCGCACTTCAAGTTTTGCTAAAGTCATCACTAGTTCATCATGAAACTAGATTTTAACTTATTAGACATATATATCTACACATTAAAACAAGAGAAATGTTAAATTTATACTTCAACCAGAGAAGTAGTCGACATTAGCAGCCAGAGAGCTATTATTCTGAGGCCTTTACCAAAGATGATATTCTCCAAACGGATAGTATTGTAAGTTGACCTAAAATCCGTGGATGGTAGGGGTAGTGGCAGGGGAAAACCAAAGTGGAACCTTAGTCTTTCCAAACGCAATAGATGAGATCTTCTGAAGTAGAACGGAGTTGGGAAGACGAGTGATGCAAATAATGAATCTCCTCACCTCGCTACACACGTCAACACCATCGGGGTCAACTTTCCTTCTCTCACTAGAACCATATACAAGGAGACGCGATAGATCTTAGGCACGGACTTTATGCAATCATCACGAGCACAGAACAAAGGAGGAAGAGAAGAGGAGGGAATAGCTGAATCGGTGGCGCTTTTGATTGTCCAGAACCTTACGAAACTGGCGGTGCCAGTTCTTAGTCGGAGCTTATATGGATGGACGGACGTCTAGGGTGGTTCGTAAAGTTCTGAAGTCCTTACAGACTACAGATGAGTTGAGGTCTTTAATTTGGGGTTTAGACTATTTTTGAAATTAAAAAAAAATAGTTAAAAGAATAAAAGTGAAAATTGAAAAGTTAAGAGATGAAAGAAAAAATGTTTTGTAACATAAATGAAATGTCATAGGTAGAAGTAGTTGTAACCAGATATTTTCACATTAATGTTTGCCCTATGTATTAAAAGTATCATAGATAAATTTAATACAGAGTATATATAATCATTGATATCTATTATATGAATAATATTGTATATATGGAGTATTGTATATTTGGGTTAATTTTTATTTGCATCATTCTATTGTTATTGTCTGATACAATGCACTGAAAGTAATTTATTTAGTGTATAAAATCAATGATCCCAATTGTAAAGACTTACTTTCATTTTGTTTTTTTCATTCGAGATTAAAGTGTTTATATTTGAATTTCTTTTTCATAATATGTAGAAGGTTTAGATCTAGCATATTCATTACGTGATATGACTATTAGACTGATAATGAGCCCTCAAATCACACAATTTTTTTTTGAATGTTACTACTTCATGCAAAGATGACCCCTTACATCCTCACTCTTCTATTTCTTTTTCTAAACTTTTTATGCGACACACTCTTGTAAGTTTGTTTATATTAGAGACAGTAGCCTAAAAGGATTAAATTAATCCCTAAATGCATATATGAGACTATGTTACTTATCTTCCAAAAATAGAATTAAAGTATACCCTATATTCATATTATACCTTTACCATAAATTAATATGATAATTGTTGAAGTTTATTCTTCCATGTCCTAAGGCTCAACACGTTCTTTAGGCTGTCGTTGGGATGTTATGGTCAGGGTGAAGAGAATGTGAGTAATGAACGATAAGAAAACAAGAAAACACAATTGCTCAACTGTATTAGGATGAGGATGTTGATTACACAATAACGACCGAATGGGATCTTCGGACTAGATTGAATGCTAATACAAAAGCTATAGAGAAGTATATTGCTTGTGAGTACAAAATTGCTAACTATTTACAATGAAATAAATGCTGATATTTATACTATGAATGAGTAGTTGAGTGGATAATCTCTCAACCATAAAATCCTCCAAATCTCTCTGCATTTAATACACTTCTCGCCAATTATGAGGTTTCCCGCCAATCCTCTTGGACCATGGAGTAAGTGACTCAAGTGTGCTGGTTCGGCAGTGGCCGAACGTGCTCCTTATGTGGACTCCGCTGATCCTGGGTATTCTAGGGATATTTGGGCATGTGCCTGGGCTGGGACCCAATATCCCAACAATAATCATATTTAAAAAATAATTTAACTTATACAAAAAGTTGTAGAAAATTATATAAAAAAATTAAAATATTTTCTATTATTGATGAAATATGATTTGTATTAAATCAAAGCAAGGGTAGAACCGTAGAATTGAAACGTAAGTTATCATCCCATTTTGGCAATTAAAGTTTCATTCAGTCCTATTTGGAAAATTCTCCCTTTATATTATTATTTTGCATGTGTGTATAATACTAATTTTTATATAACTCATGAAACAGAATGAACTTTTTTAGCTTTAAAATATTAATCACGTGGACTTGAAAACATAAGGTAGACCAAACCTAAACAAAGGTTACAGCCTTGTCAAATACAAACACAATTTTTTACGTTAAATCAATAAAAAAAATGTGAATTGATAAAAAGGAAGAAAAGCTTAGATTCATTTGTAATTTACACTAAAGAGGAAGGAGGTGATTGAATTTTTAGTGTTTTTATGAAGAAGAAAATTGAAAAAAATAACAGAGAAGAAACCAGAAATATCGATGTAGAAGAACATGCAGGGGCTTTTGAAAGAAAATGACGGCGTTAAATTTGCGCATGAGACATTATGCTTTAACGAATATTACAGATAATTTAGAGCAAATGAAAAATCTGTAAACCCACAGAATGAATATAAAAGAAACTGTAGCTAAGAAAACAAATTTTATGACATACAGAGAGTATAAGTTGAAGTTGTATTATGACTGCGCACTCGGAACAACAAAAGGCAATGCTGTTGCCCAGAGAATGGAGGGATTTTTATACTTGAGCGGTGCCCTCAGTGAACTTGGGATCCTCACATCGGTACCTTCCATCAGGCCCTATTCCGAAACCCCTTGGATCTGCAAATACATTTTCAAGTAGCTGGCTACGAGCAGGCACGGGGCTTTTATCAGCGAACTCAACAGCCTCTTCAACCTCCTCTTCTATTTTTCTTTCAATACTCTTCAATTCTGCTTCGGTTGCAAGATTGTTATCAAACAAGTAATTCTTCAATGCAGTGATGGGATCACGTGATGCATACTGACTCTTCTCACCTGCACCATAACTAGTCAACTAAGCTCCCCCAATCATCATCATCAATATTAGAAACTGCACTCTTATAAATAGATTGGGTGGGAATTGGAAATAACAATAAAGTGATGTGTTCAGATTTTTTTACAATTTTAATGAATTGAAACGCTTGAAGGAAAAAGAGGGGGGTAAAAAACAAAAGCAGTTTCAACTTTCAAGCGCAGTACATATGCAGACAACAGTAATCTATCTCGAGCAACATTTTGTTACAAAATGAATAATCAGGATTGCTAGATAGGCAACATTTGAGTGAGGCAGCCTTGCGGAGCTAGAACCCATGAGAAGATCTTATTTTGCTGCTTATAATCAACTTTTTGAGCAAAAAGTACTAACTATACCAAATGCTCTATTTTAACAAAGGATAGCTTTTTATAGCAAAATTTCTAGCTTTTACATCTCATACAAGCTTTTGTGTTTCAACAATATTACAGATATATCTATGAGAGAGGAGCCACGCATAAGCAATCTCGAGTAGCGACATGGAGGGAATCTTACGGTTATTATATTATTACAGAGTATGGTCTTAATTTTTACTATTATTAGTATTATACTACGTTGTCTCTCTTATACATGTTATTATTGTGACTTTGTTATTAACTTTTAGCTTCTTATAAACCTATGGTTTTATGTTTCTATTATGATTAGGACCCTTGTAAAAACCATAGAGCCAGAAAAAATACAGAGTAACTCTGCAATGACCTTGATATGTATATATATTATTCAGTACAGAGAGAGATAAGAGACCCATGAATATACTAGAATTATGTTATATATACAACGAAGAGTGTTCCTTAATAACAACTATTACGTGGGTATGTCAATACGCACGTATTGATACGGCGATACAACAAGCTTGAAAATATTAGCTAAGGATACAACGTACATTTACAAATAATAAAAATATAGGAATTATTGAGAAAAAATAAGAAAATTAGTTTTAAAAGCTCACAAGTAAAATAAGTAAATAACAGTACCGAAACTACATATCAACCATAAGTTTATACTTTAAATTTAAATTAAAGTGCCCAAACTTCAAGACATTCTTCTTAAAAGAAATTGACCTAAATAGGAGTAAACACGTTTTGGAATTCCACAATAGAAGCAATATGATTTTATTCCTTAAATAGGAGTAATAACCATCATGTGTCTAAAATACTGCCAATAATGGTAGGACATTATCATATTTAAAGCTTGGTAATGCCCAAATATGGCAGTAAATTTTCAAAATCATAGTAAATTACTCCTATCTAGGGAAAAACATTATACTCATATATCGGGAATTTTCCAGTTTCTGTAGCAATTAGCATTTAGCATTTGCTTCATGTTCTTTAAGAAGCCGAAGGTAAGGTTAACTTTGGCTCATCAATTGAAAGATGAACGATTTCGAGTACTCCTATATCTTCTCGGGTACTCCTATATCTTCTCTGGCACGTGAATATACATACCGGTCTAGAGATACCGTTTTCCGAAGTTTTTTGTTTTTCTATAAATGGGTCTTGTACTTTCATAAAATTATGGATACAGAAATGATATATATAGTACATGGATGCGTGAGAATCATTATAAGATATATTATTACATACCATATACAGCGTTGTGGCAAAGAAGGGGTAAATTGTAGGTCATGACAAGATGGGGCACCGGTTAATTCCACATTAAGCATAAATCTTAAATACTCTCTTTCGTTATTTATCTCTTTTGTTCTTGTAGATATGGAATGAGAGGACACTCAAAAGACATAATTAAAAACACGTGAATAAAGCACATAGTAGAAACAATAAAAACTTAGTACTTGGCGACCTAGCAAACTAACACAATGAGTAATAGATAGGAAAGAGATATTGAGTGAGAGGGATAAAGCATTTAGTAGTAAAATTTAAGAGCATAAGATCCTTACAAGGGTCACGCAGCTCATCGGGGTCAGCCAAAGAGTGCCCCCTGAACCTGTATGTATCACACTCCACCAGAGTAGGACCTTCCCCTCTCCTAGCTCTGCCAATAGCCTCCTCAGCCACCTCCCTCACCTTCAACACGTCCATACCATCAACGTGAACCCCTGGCATGCCAAACGCCGGTCCCTTTTTCCAAATCTCTGGGTCAGAAGTAGCCCTCAAGTGGGACATACCAATGGCCCACAGGTTATTTTCGACAACAAAGATTATAGGCAGTTTCCACAATGCAGCCATGTTCAAACACTCATAGAACTGGCCATTGTTGCAAGTCCCGTCACCGAAAAAGGCAAGAGTAACCTGATCACAACCCTCATCCTTGTAAACCTCCCTCTTATACTTTGAAGAAAAGGCAGCCCCTGTGGCAACCGGAATGCCCTCACCTATGAAAGCAAACCCGCCAAGAAGGTTATGCTCCTTGGAGAACATGTGCATGGACCCACCCTGACCTCTGCAACAGCCGGTGGTCTTGCCGAAGAGTTCACTCATCACTTCACGGGCAGGAACACCCTTGCTCAATGCATGGACATGATCACGGTAAGTGCTGACCACAAAGTCTTCTTTCTTCAAGAGCTTTATGAATCCAGTGGAAACTGCTTCCTGTCCATTATACAAGTGCACAAAACCAAACATTTTTCCCCTATAGTACATCTGGGCACACATGTCCTCAAATGCCCTCCCCAGAACCATATCCTCGAACAACACCAATCCTTCTTGCTTGGAAATTGACTACAAACGCCAGTGAGGACACAATAAATTTTCTATTACTTTACCCTTTATGCTGGCTAAAAAATAACCATTCAGTACTTACAGTAGTAGAAAGTTCAGATAAAGCATAAGAAAATAGTTAACTTGAAACTTTAATTTAAAAGGCCCATAAGAATTACTCAAAAGATAAATAAAGAAACATCCAATAAAATAGGCGGCTGATACAGTAAACTTTCTTCTTTTTGTATACGCTCACAGAAGTAGAAATTTAACGAACACGCTAAAAAAATTCTTCTTCAAAATTTAAGGACAAATAAATACTGCCTGCAAAAATTAATCAAAGAGTAATTACAGGAACATCATCCATCTAGAACCGAAAATAATGGGCTGAGGATAAAAGAATTACCGATTTGGAGGGGGAGGCGGGGGAATTGAGCTTGGTTTCCTTGACAACATCGGAAATGGCTAGGACACGGGTGGATATGCGGCGAAATCGAGGAGAAGCGAAGAGCTGGTTGTCCGATGGAAGCTTGATGGAAGATGAAGATCCGAAAAAAGAGGACGCGGGCTTAAAGGGATCTGCAAAGAGCGGTTTGTCAGCGGATCTAGTGAAGGAGTTGAGGGGCTGCACGAAAGATAAAGAGGAAGCCATCCTTCTTCTTCTTCTTCTTCTATTACGCCTTGGGCGATGAAAAAGGAGACGGGCGCTTTACAGAAAACCAAGCAATAGAAAGGGTACGCAGATTCAATAGAGAAGAAACTGAGGAAAGGCAAAAACAATACTCCGTATAAGAAGAGATGAGGACGGAGAAAACGATGAAAGAGGGAGAGGGAGAGGGAGAGGGAGATATCAGTGTACGCGTGGGGTGTTGCTGTGCCAAATTAAATTATTCGTCTTTTGTATTTACTATTTACTTGATTTCAATATTTTTGTTTTTTTATCAACTCATTTCATACCTTTATTTTTACCATCTCATCTTTTTACAAAAATTTTAAGGAGCCATATGTGACTCTCTTATGGAGTCACATGGGCTATTGTGGCACCATCCCCACCATACATTATTTTAGTGTAGACCAGATAGGGGTTATTGTGCATCAGATCGACACTTTGGACGGCTGAGATTAATTCTCATTTTACACGTTAAGACTTTTTCTTATTTGATATATATATAGGGGCAAGATCTCATACAAACCAAGCTTCCGATGCAAACTACAAACTAATGGCAGCCAATGGATTAGAGGGAACAGACGGCTTTGAGAATGGGATGCATTATTAAGAGGGTGCACTGACACACATGGAATAACAATGGTAAATCCCATCTGGAAGCTTAAGTCATCTAAAAGGTCTGGAATGTCATCTAACAAAAAAAAACTAAGCCGCCAACATAAAAAAACGGGATTGAATGTGGAAATCCCTAATTTTACGATTAGTGTGCAGCAACAAGGTAATCGACCATGAATAGCATCGACAAAAAAGGTAAGTTGCAGAGGATCGTCGATTGAAAACATAGTGGCCAACGCTTTCTGAGTCTGGAGCAAGGGTTTCATATAGTGTTTTTTATCCGAAGAAGGCAGTGTGAACGACGAGTGCAAGGAATGACTTTGCTACAAATGGAACATCTGTTGCGTGAAATACAAAATGAGCTTGATGAAGGTACTCGTTTGTAGTCACTGGTTATTTCAATATAGATTCAAAAATATTACTCCCTCTGTCCCTCTAAGTTTGTCCCGTTTTACCTTTTGCGTCCGTCCCATTAAGTTTGTCTCATACCATATTTGGTAATATTTGGGTGGTTACAATTCATTTTTACTTTATTCACACTTTATCAATTCAATACAAACCACGCAATTCCATTTTTTCTTAAATGTTGTGCCACACCCTCTTGTCCCAAACATAGTGGGACAGAGGTAGTAATTTGGATGCCTGTTTAATTTAATTCGACCATTGAAATGCACCTTATTGAGAAATTTAGGATGAATACTGTCAAATTACAAGTTGGGATTGCAATGTAGCTTTCTATAGAGGTTTGATAATGTTTCAAGTGATATTGAGGAGAAATATTGCATTCTTGTAACTTTAGGTGGAATGCAGTTAGATGTACTTATAGGTGCACTGACACGCAGAGAATAAAAAACAATAATATGCAGGAGTTTTAGATGTAAGATGCAGGGTTTTGGTATTTGGAATTAGACTTTCAAATGGATTTAAGATGCAATATTTTTAGATGTAAGATGCAGGGGTTTTGGTACTTGGAATTGGACTTTGGAACGGATGTAAAGATGCAATAGTTTCAAAAGTAAGATGCAGAGGCTTTGGCAATAGGAATTGGATTTTCAAATGAATGTAAGGTACATGACATGCAGATGTAAGATGCAGTAATTAAAGATATTATATGCAATATTTTAAAGCATGTGACTTGTGTTTGTGAACAATATATATGCATGAGTGTATAATACAAGATGCATTTATTTAAAATAGAATGAAAATCAATGTCTCAGAATTGTGTAACACATAGTTTTGGTTAAATATTGATTGAAAGTGAATTCAACATTATGCATATTTTGGTTGTTGTATGTGTTTACTAAAAGTCAAGTGATATGATTGAAACCACACATAACTGCACTTGTATATTTGAATGTATATGCATAAAGTTTTGTTATAAGATGCAACACTAATATAATTGCAATGCATTATTACAAGTCTACAGTGCAGTAGTCACCCGTGAATTTTATTATATGACAATAAGCTAAACAATGACATGTACATATAATAGAAAATGGAGAAAAGCAACAGTAGTAAGAGCGAAAAGAAAACAAGAAGGTGTATCATCAAGTAACATCAAACAGAACAAAGAGGTCAAAGGGGCCAAAAAAAGATAAAAGGTTAGACAAGATTTTTTACATATGAGACGTTTTTCAAATTATGCAAGTCTAAATTGAATAGTGGTCATTACATTAGGAGTAGAAGTTCCACAGGTGCAAGCAATGATGAATTCCAAGAGCTGAAGTGAGAAGCAAATGGAGAAAAATAGTACAAGGTTTTAAGAAAAATGAAAAGAGATTAAAGTTTAATTTGTTATGGAGTTTAATTTCATAAATTGCATTTGATATATCTAGTAATGCAATGATGTTGTGGTAACTATGCAGGCGTTGAAATAAGTAGAAAAGATAGTGGAAGACTGGAATTGAGCTTGAAGAGAAGGAGAACTGGAAGAATATGTGAAGACAAATAAATTAGAGAGGTTGAATGCACCATAGGAGAAGCTAATTCAGGCAACATGTGTTTTTGCTTACATTTTACATGACAAACATACTATGACATGTGTTATTAATTGTGTGGGTGGATATTTATGGAAGTTTTTATATGACGTTAGTAATGAAACATCATTCATGATAGATCGTATTTTGTTGACGGTTTGTATTGTGAATGCGAAATACAAACACTTATTTTGGTTGAATGAAGTTTTGGTACGAGTTTACTTGCACCTTATCAACTTGTATGATGCACTGCAATGTGCAATAGTATGCATCATTATACGTTTGAGATTTTTCTTCATCATACATTTGAGATATATAACATAAAATAGGACTATTGTGTGGGTAAAGTGCTACTCTGAATTTGGAAAAGTATATGCATTTATATGAGCATATTTTTCATTGTGACATGTGAATATATTGTGACAATGCAGTTTGAAAGCATTTTTCAATGACGGTTTATTATTGTTAAAGTGGTGTATGAACATCTAAGTCTTAGATGTAATTAAGTGTTATATGAGTTCAGATGAATAAATTTAGTTCAACAACGTTAACGCATTGGGAAGAGATAATGGACTATGTATTACATAGCATATGACGATGCACCATTTTGATGTATAAGGTGCATTACACATTAACAGACTTACTACATTTATCTTTATTATGCAAAGAGACGGTCTATAGAATGCAGCCATACATACCACTAATTTCATAATCTGTGATATAACACATAACTATTTGATACAAATGACAAAAGAAATTAATATCCCCATCAGTGGAGTACGTTAAATAAATAGATGAAATTATTATGCATATAAATGCATTTGAGAATGCATTTCAATGTGCTGTAAAGTGCAAACTGTAATACGAAAACGGATGACATCCAGTGAATCACATGTGCACATATAGCACAAAACATAAAATACAATGAATACAAGGTAAAAATAGATTCATTTTGCAAATTTGTTTACATTTTACATACCAATACATGAAAAAATAACATAACAAAATAACTAAATAAACTTATTCATATCATGAAATCCTATATACTTAAGGGGTAATTCCTGCTACCATTATGAGGCAAACTACAGCTGCAATTTTTTTTGTAGAACTCGATGTCTGCATGATAAAAAATCATTCCAATGCTCAGGGAATCAGCTGCATAACCTGCTAATTGACCTTGAACCTCCTCAAGCACTTCACCCCTCCCTTTAGGACAAATTTCTGATGAAAATGTCTATAAACAATATCATCTCTTCTCTGTGGCCCTAGAAATTATTTAGAAATTGCATAGTCTTTGTAAAAATCAAACCAACATCTACATTAGGAAATATCTAATAAATTAAAAAATGGATGACCAGGAGACAAGAACAACCACAAGGCATAATAAATCTAAAGTTTTTTGTATGAAAACAGAGTTCATCAAAGATATAGGGATACCTGATTCCATGGTGGTCGATGATTATGATGGGAGATTAATTCGAGCGTTATTCATAATCTCGAAGAGGAAGATAAGCGCACAGATCAAACCCTTGATCGATTGGAAAGATGTAATGAAAGATGAAACGAAACATAGGAGGTTTATGGGATGGAAAGTAATGAGCGTGATTTTTGTTCCATTATAAAAGAAGAGTAATTGACCAAAGCACCCTTACTTTTAATTAGTCTGAATTGAGCAGTTAACATGAAACAGATGCTGATCTAAACTAAATGAATGACTAGGATTAGGTTTGTAGGTTAACATATTAAGATGAGTTTGCATTTGATCTCTTATATATATATATATACATATACATATATATATATATATATATATATATATATATATATCTGTGTGTGTATGTATATATATGTGTGTATATATATATGGAAAAACTTCCGGTAAGGTATACCTTACCGGAACCGCCGTGCGGCATCCACGTTTTGAGGGCCTTCCCAGTGAAATTTTTTGATGAAATTGTTTGAGCATGTTATTCATCAAGTCTAGTACATCCATACCAAATTTCAGCAAAACATTCAATCGGGAAAGCAGTCAAACGATTTTTAGAAGATAACTGCGTCTTATATGTATATAAAGGGTGCGGTTATCTTCCAAAAATCATTTGACTGCCTTCCCGATTGCATTTTTCGCTGAAATTTGGTATGGATGTACTAGACTTGATGAAGAACATGCTCAAAAATTTTCATCGAAAAAATCCACCGGGAAGGCCCTCAAAACGTGGAGGCCGCACGGCGGCTTCGGTAAGGTATACCTTACCGGAAGAGTTCCCTATACATACATACATACATACATACATACATACATACATACATACATACATACATACATACATACATACATACATACATACATATATATATATATATATATATATATATATATATATATATATATATATATTTTGATTTCACCTAATGCACATTTCAGTTTCACTAAATGCACATTCAATTTCACAGATTACAATCTAACGGTCCGGATTCATTCTCATTTCTCTCCTAAGATCATTTTCTCACTTGAACCTAATTCTATATATATATATATATATATATATATATATATACATACATATAGGTTTTGGTTCAAATAAGAACACGATCTTATGAGAAAAATGA